TCCTCAGGGTCTGGGTCGCCCACCATAGAGGGGATCTTTGGGAAAGATTGGTGTATGAATCTGTGGAAAGACAGAGATCCGTGCAGTGTGGAGAGAGACTCACCGCAGTCCTCTGAGGTAGTAAGAAGAAGGTTTACACAGCTGTTAAATGTTTGATACCTATATAGCATTGAGCAATAAAACATGCTGCACAGCTGGTTATATGCAGGTCTGAAGGTGAAGTATACAAACTGCAGAATGAGCAGAAAAATCTGCTTATGCACAATGAAAAGCATGTGTAATATCGTTAGGGAGTTTAAATAGGCTCTCAAAAATGTCTAAACCATGTCATGTAGGTCATAAAACGTGTATATTCATATTATTATTAAAGGAATAATGGGTACAAGTCAGATACCACACTAAGGGATGCATCTAAGAATTATTATCAGTAAAGGGGAACTTATGGTCAAAGACAGTCCAAAAATATTAGTAAACATGAACATTTCTCTCCCAAATCCAAAAACTAGAGTGCTAAAACTCAAATTTGTGACATCAGGGTATAAAGTCTGGAGCTGCTCCACTGACAATGACTGGTGACAGATGTTATAGATGACACTGGGAGCACTCATGGGAATAATCTGTGTATATGGGTACGTTTCTGTGTCAGAGCTGAGAACATGACAACAGAATAAAGCTCATTCACGTGTAAAAAAGCAAACAAACATTTTGTTGGCCCACAAAATCGGGCTCCAGACTTTATACCATATGACATCGCAAGTTTGAGACGTACTTCTCTGGGTTCTGGCTTTAAGAGGAAATAGCTCCTGTTCACGAATATTGACATCAATAAATCATAAAAGTTAAGGAGACACAGTTGTCCCAAGAAGGAAAACATATTTCAGCCCAAAAGCTTTTACAGTAAGAGCTTCTCAGAGAGTGACTAGCAACCAGACCTGCTATTAAACCTCATCACTGCATGCTTGCCTTGTCTGCACTGCTTTCTGTCTGTGTTCGTCAGACTGTCCGTCTGGTTTTACCTGTTCGTTGTCACGTAGCGTGATTTTAATGTGTAATCCATGTTGTAACTGTTTGTGCTGAATGTCTGCTTAACATCATCACTTTGCATTTTGCATGCCCTACTTTGCATGGTGCTTGCTTTTCTAACCTAAGCTTTTATTATTCTGTTAAGCTGTTCGTGTTTAGCTTTCTCCGGTTGCGATTTTACATGTTGTGTGTTTTATTTGTTGGCCAATTTAACATCAGGCCAAATGACAACAGTTGAAAATGAGCTTTTCTGCCTAACACTGGCACATTTGCAGTGATGTGGATTAATGTGTATTGTCTCTGAAAATGAATAAATAAAAGAAATACTACAACTTTGTTTGCTAAAATGTCTAGTAGTTATATAATTCATTCATTCATTATTTATTTTTGTCATGCCAAATCGTGCACGTACAAAGCATGTGGAAAAAGAAACAAACTAAAAGCAAAACCAAATCATCCGAAATTAACCTCTACATGAGAAACCACCAAATATCTTCAGATAATCTCATTAAAGAGCTTCTTTCTCTTCTCCCTGTTCAGATAACAGACTAATTTATGTTTGATGTATGAACAGCCATCTCAGTCTTGTGCTTTTTCCATATTTACAAAATCAGTATCTGTTTTGATCTTACTAAGCAAAGCATTTTGCAGTTCACACTGAAAATTAACAGTAGAAAATAAAATGGCACTCATTTTCTGTATCGTTCAGACACCACAATGGACGCATCTGCTTTTCTTCTTCTAGATTAACACACTGTCCAGTTTCAAAAGTCAAAGGTGACATACCAGATCTCAGCTGAGCACTTAGAGATCTTTGCTTTTAAGACAAATTATATATAACATAAGTCTCTGCATCATATTCAGTCTTTGTTTAGTCTGTATGTCATCAGCCCACTGTCCTTTGTCTTTGGCTAACACGGATTCTCTAAACAAGCCAATGTTGGGCCTTTTTTTATTTAACACTCAATCTAATAATAGTTATTTTACATTTTTCGTTTATTGCTGCTGACAGGAAGAATTAATAATCAAAATTGCTGCTGATTATTTTTTTGCTGGTTGACTACTCGACTGATTATTTCAGTTCTATTCAGATTCAGCATCGCTGTCACAGAAGATGCTGCTGTATTTAATGACAGTTTGGCATTTGGACTTTTTCCATTTTACAGTTCACGGCGACACTGTCCAACCACATTACTGTGACTGAGATCAAAGAGGAGGATGTGGAGGACGCTGCCAGCAGCTGCCAGCAGGAAGCGCTTAGTACAGAAGGTGAGAGAGTGAAGGGGCGTTGGCGTGAGGGAACACAAAGCAGCCTGCAGCTTTAGATGCTTTTTTTTGTTTTTGAGTGTTTGACTTTGTATTTTTATGCAGCAGAACATAAAGAAAGCATGGCTGAGGAACCAGAGCAACTGTCAGTGGGTATCTCAGCCGACGGCAGCACTTGCAGCCTGCCGTTTGATCCGGATGGAGAGCCGGCTGTGTGTGCAGGCGGTATGGAAGAAGAGTCCGTGCAGCTGATTTGCATCAGTGACTCAGAGGAGGCCTTCAGCTCTCATATCATTCCAATAGAGGAGGAGGAGGATGATGACGATGACAATGTAGAGTTTGTTACAGAAAGTCAGCAAGAGCCGACAATGAACGCTGAATGTGGGCCCAGTAATGAAGAACAGCACACTTTACCTGCAGACAACTCAGACAACAGCACAGCTCCGGATGAACACAAGGGTGACGACTTTAATATGCTTCAGGTAGAAAGCACAAGAGCCCCGGACAATGGGAAATTCAGTTGTGAAATATGTGGCAGGACGTTCTTCCACAAGGGCACCCTAACACACCACATGAAGTCCCACAAGTCCAACTTTTGCAACATTTGTAAGCAGCACTTCCCTCGCCGGCACAAGTTCAACACGCACACCTGCGTGCCCCCGGCTCCCTCTCAGCCGGTCAGCAGATCATGCGAGCTGTGTGGGAAGACCTTTGCGAACCCATCAGCTCTGAGGATTCACTACCTCGTCCACACAGGAGAGAAACCACACAGGTGCAGCTTCTGTGGGAAAGGGTTCACCCAGAAAGGCAATCTGAAATGTCACCTTCGTATCCATACTGGAGAGAGACCATTCTGCTGTGTCAAATGTGGGAAGACATTCACGCAAAAGGTCAACCTCAACCATCACTTAATGTCTCACAGAAAACAAGAGTTCCCCAAGGCTAGGAGACATCAACCTGTCAGGGACTGACAAGAACTATAGCTTTATTTATCTGAATGCCTCATGTGGTACTACTCATGTTAGTGTAGGGGCATTTAATGCCATGTTTGTATCAAGTCGTAGTCTGTACTGTAGTGCTAGAAAAAAACAAGATGTCCTGTTTTTGCCAGTTAATTTAACCATTAAGTACTTAGATGTTGTCTCTGTCCTTATAATGAAACACATGAATGTTCTTTTTATTAAACTTTTATTAGATAGAACTCTCCTTTTAAAGTGTGAGTTATTCGTTGTCTAATCTATACTGAAGTTGTCTTCACCTTGAGGAATCAGTTTTACATGTTCAACTTTGACAATCAGAACGGGGCTCCATAAGGGGCATGCAGGACTGAGTGAAAACGGGGGAAAGAAAATCAACAGCACAAGATTTCTTTCTTGGGCAGCCATAATTCACTAGGCTAGGTCAGTGTGGTGCATTCAAGGGAATCATATTATTACAGACAAAATTCGCCACGACATTAAACCCACTTACAGGTGAAGTGAGTGACATTGATTGTTGCAATACAATGTTCTGCTGGGCAACCTTGAGGTCCTCACATTCATTTGGATGACCTGCCACATACTTAAACACCAAGGCAGACCCAAGTATACCCCGTCATGGCAACAGCACTCCCAGATGACCGCAAAAAGTGCTCACGCATGCCACGAGGAATGTGACAAAGAGCTTAAGGTGTCAACCAGGCTTCCAGATTCCCCACATCCAAATCTGATTGAGCATCTGTGGGACATGCCGGTACCCCAGAGGTCATGTGTCATGTGGCCTCCTTAGGTATCTGGCACCAGGGTGTCCTGGGGGTTGCAAGTTAGGGCCTCCATGGACTTTTTCTGGCACGTCCCACAGATGCTTGTTTGTGTTGGGGGTCTGGGGTATTTGGAGGTCAGTTTGATGCCTTGAGCTGTTTGTCATGTTCCTGAGCAGTTTTTGAGGTATGGCATAGCACGCTGTCATGCTCAGGGGTGGGGGGCACTGCCATCTGGGAGGGCGTGTACTTGGCCCACAATGGTATTTGGGTGGGTGGTGCGTGTCAAGTTGCATCCACATGAATGCCAGGGCCCAAGGTTTCCCAGCAGGACATTACCAATGTCATTCACTCACAGCAGTTTTGATGTTACAGCTGATCGGTGGAAGTGCTTAGTAGAAGTAACTGCTCTGTTCAAGTGTGATGAAAGTAGCCTGAGCGTCAGACTGAAGCTCCCAGAACCTTCAGTCTGACATGGCTTCCATTGAAGGCGATTTACAAGGGGGAGGGAATTTGATTTTTTCCCTAACCAATCAGTAGAGATCGACGACTCACCCAGAATCTGACGTCATTAGTATCCATGCCTCGGGGGTGCCGAAAACAAGCGAGCATTGCCCGTTTAAAATGTCTCCGTCGTCGTGCACGGCCAGCTGCATCACCGTTAAATCCAGTTTAGCAGCTTCCTTAATTTGGTCCACCATTAATGCGAGTAGTGGCGAAATACCTCGATAGCATCGTTAATGTGGTCTGTAGGATCTGTAGCGGTCGCCATTGTTGCTATCCTCACCAGTTACCCACCGGCGTACAGCTTGACATCAGCGTGGCACTGATTGGCTAATTGCTAGACCCCCGGCGTTCACTGGTCCGTCCAGCGTTTGGACGAGATAAATCACAAATTCATTGAAGTATGCCAGACCAGAGATGCAAGCCTACTCAGTTGAGTGGGCGGGGTCTATGGTCTGGAACCAGGCTATGATGAAAGTTCATTACATAATAAAATATATGCAACTTCTTAAAACAGAAATTAAAACAAAAAAAATAATGAACATTTGGTTTGACTGTACACTGACAACATTTCTTTCTACAATTATGATGCAGCCACACAAATACACTTAGTTTTAACAGTAACACCATTTCTGGATCTCATTTGAGGATTATGTAACCAACACACATCAATATTTCATAACAGTTGTGTTTCACAAACAGACAGAGCTGCCCTCTTTCTGTTTAATTAAACGCCAACAGATTAGCCATGACGTGAAATACAAAGCAGAGGTGAGAGCTGGGTAATGAAGCAAACAGAGGAGGTTGTTTTACTTCCACACTGTTGTGAAGAGGTAGATTTGAAGGTTTATGCTACATGTGTGCAAACAGTGGAACAGTAGTCCGACGTATTTTGGCATTATTCGACACAGGCCTTTGGTGGCATGAAATATGACACTGAGGTATGTATTATCTGTTCGGCAACCGTATGACAACATGCGATGGACACCACAGGATTCCCACGGTCACTGAAAACCTGGAAAAGTCATGGAATTTTACAATCTCGTTTTCCAAGCTTGGGAGTGTCATGGATCTTGAAACTTTTGAAAAACTCCTAGAATATTGTGTGTAAAATAAATTAATTGTTACAGTAATCTTTCATGGATAACCCTCCATGTAATGAAGCATGACAGCAACTTTATCTTCTGTAGCTGTTGACATAAAGCAGCTCTATGTCAATGTTTACCATCACATATGTTTCTTCCTTATTTTCCTAACACTCTGCCTCCCCTTCCTCATGTGCTGGCTAGCTGGAATTATGTGTGACTAAAGTTTGAATCTGATATGTAGAGTGAGTAAGAGGCAAATAATGTGACAGTGTTGGAGGAAAAAAGGAAGTGCTGCACTGGGTTAAAAGCTGTGTCGTTAGAATAAAATAAAATCAGGTGCTCTTCAAGGATGGGCAAAGAGTCACTTGAAGACACACATTTCTGTCAATGTGGTTTTTTGTCTAGTGGGGCTAAACCAATATATCACCTGACCTGTGTCACATGACCCTCACATGTTTTACACCCTGATGAGGACTCTCTAGTCGAAACTCGTGGTTATCCATGTACTAATAAAAGATTTTGAACTACAGTCAGAGGGCCACAGGTGCATTTTTGGACTGGCTGCCTGTACTATGGACTTCTACACTGAGTGTTTATCTTTAATGTGATACTGTTATTTAACATGTGGGATCATGAGTCCCAAATTTTCTATATCTACTACTTAGAATTTGTACTGCATTTTTCAAAAAGGTGCCTTGTTCATGTTCTACATTGTGAACAGTCGTGGAAATTTCATCATGGGTGCTAGAAAAGTCATAAAAAGTTTTGAAATTTTGTCCATGTGGGAACCCTGGATACAATGAAAGTATTTTTTGCCTTAGTTTCAATGAGCACCTCACATTACATGGAAGCAGCAAATAAGTCTCATCAGATCCGTGACTCTTATCTATCACGTGTCGTGAAGTTGAGTTTAAAGGCTTGTTGAGGGCATCATAAATTCAACAATGACGTGCCCCCGCAACCAGTCAAATAAACTGAATCCCACCAAATCTAATTCTACATTAGAGAGGACAGATATTCTCTGTTCTCGTTTGGCTGCAGCAACATTTCTATCAGCAGTAAAGCTAAAAACAAGTCAAACAAACTAATATTTTTACAGCAGCACCGTTAACCATACAGGCTATAAAACAAGCCTTCCTTTGATGCAGACGGAGTATTTCAAATCTACAGTTTCAATCCACATTTCCTACAGACGTGCTGGCACATTTTGAGCCAACAAGAGTTCATCGAAGTTCAGATCAGACAGCATGGTTCGATCTCTCAGTTGAAACACTGGTGGTGATTTAAACCGTACTTGTAAGCATAACATTTCCCACAGTCCACACAGCTGTAAGGCTTCTCCCCGGTGTGCGTTCGAAGATGTATGTTCAGAGAGCTTTTCTGGGAGAAACTTTTGCCACAGTCCGGACAGCTGTAAGGCTTCTCCCCCGAGTGAACGCGCTGGTGCAGCTTCAGGTACGTCTTCTGAGCAAAGCGCTTCCCGCATACCGTGCAGCTGAACGGCTTCTCGCCGGAGTGTCGCCGGATGTGGACTTTTAAACTGCTCAGATAGTTGAATATCTTCCCGCAGAATAAGCACTCAAACCGTTTGGCAGGTTTCATGGGTCTTGGCTGAACGTTGGGTTCTTTGGTTGCGTTCATGTGGATATTGTTAGTGTAGTCTGAGTATTCTGTGGTGGCCGAGGAAGAATTGGTGTTGTCCACCATTGTGCTCATTGTTGCATCGTCGATCAGCTTGTCCATAATGGTTGGCTGCGTGCGCTGTTGTGTTTGAGTGTCAGCCGTCATGGGGTAGTTGTTTAATTCACCTGAGTGAAGCTGCAGCTCATCAACAGATCTGTGAAGCATGCTGTCCTCGTCAAAGATTCCAGCCACTGTCAAATGAGAATAAATGCAGTTAAATGACACAAACTATCAAAAACAGCAACTTGTTTTTTTATATCTAATCCAAACGTACCTTTTCTGTTATCTGTGAGCCTCATCTGCTGGCCAATGGGATCATCATACGTCTCCTCCTTAACAAAGATGAGATCAGGTTCTCGCTCCATTAGGTCTATTGCCTGCCAAAAAAGAAATTAAAAAGGAATTAATACAATTAGATAAAAAATATTTTGACAATTAAGACCTCACAATTTTAAAGTTAAGACAATTTAATTAATTTTTAAGGGCTTGATGTATCTGTACACCAAAGCTAACTAGCCTTCTATGACTAATACCCAACAGTAACATTATGTTGTGGCAGCCTAATAACCAGACTGTCTGCCCACATTTCAGCCCGACTATAGCCTGCCAACAAGACATGTGACAAACAGCTTTGAACACAACGGTCATCTCAGCTCAATGAGGAAATGATTTCATTGGAAAACACAAACCCAATTGGTTTATGAGTCACTGACCTGTGGCACCATGCTCGTCATCGCAGCAGGCTCCACTGCCTCTTTCCTTTGAGGTGGGAGTTTGTCCTCTCTCCACAGATCCATGCACCAGTCCTTTCCGAAAACGCCATCAATGGCTGGAGCAGGCTGCTGCTGCTGTTCTGGAGGAAGAAGCAGATGTGAAATGGGGACGTCTGTGGAGGAAATGTTCACCGAGGTGAAATACAGGAAGTATACATATATCAGACACTGAAATGTAATGCTTTTAAATATCACTTTAAAATGATTTTTAAGCATATTTAAGACAAATTTTTGGACAAATTACCTTACTGAAAAAGACCTGAACACAAGCTATATCCACAAAGCCTTCACTCTCTGCTAAACAGCCTTATTCTGCTTTAGAAAACGGCACAGTTAAAACAACCAAAGCTCTAACAGAATAATGGCCAAGCATCAGGAAGGAAGGAACCACTGAATTCATCAAAACTAAAAAATAGAAAATTAAAATAAAATTAAAAAATAAATAAATTAAAGAGTAAAAATTAAAATAAAATCAAAAGTAATAATAACAATAATGCAGACAGAGAATAACATAAAATCTTCTCAGAACTTTTTTTTTTTTTAAAAATTACTAATTTTACAGAAACTTACCGCAGTTGTTGCATTTACTATTTGGGGTAACTGCGCAAATTATTAGTTGTTCTGTGCTATTATTCTTATGCATCGACTATTATTTGAAATATCCATAATATATGTGATTTACTTAGGGGTCATTAGCCTACTAAATTATAGAAGAGGGGTCACTTGGAAATATTAATAAATACACTGGAAATTTGTAAATCACATGAACGTGATCACGTGAAAATGTAAAGTAATAGTTTTAAGATTTGTAACATCAGAAATGTGAACTTTGACACAGAAGAGCTTGACTCATTTGACAAAAAATAAATTTTTAAAAGTTATAAATAAGTTACATTTTCTGTGGCAATCAAGACCTCTCAAATTCAATTTTAGGAGTATTTAATTACTTTTAAGGCTTAATATTTATTATAAGACACTTTAAGGACCTGCAGACACACTGATGTGCAACTTAACACACCATTAATGGGTTTTCCCCCCATAAAATCTGAATATAACCATACAGATCTGCACTCTAGCACATAACTGAGTTGAGGTGTCAGTAGTCTACACCACAGCTAACTAGCCTGCTATGACTAACACCTCACAGTGACGTTATGCAGCCTCGTAACCAGTCTAGTGACCAGCCTAGTGACCAGCCTGTGTGACCATGTCTGGGCCCGTCCTGACCTGCAGGGTGTCGGCTGCTGCTGACACTGTTGACATGTGCAGGGTAGGTCTGCGCCTCCCTCGCTGCTCTCAGCTGGACCTCCAGTAAGTAGCACCTCTTCTTCAGCGCCTCGTTCTCGGTCTTGTGCAGCGATATCTCGGTGTGAAGGACGGAGGAGCACTCGTCAGCCAGGTTGCCTATTTCCACCAGAGCCGCCTTCGTTAGCTTGTCCAGCACGGCGGCTAACTGCGCCCGGAAACTTCGGTTCGTCGTGTCGCACATCATCTCGACGGGGAGACTGAATATTTCGAATTTTTGGCAAGATTCCCGGCGTAGCAGTGTTGCCCCATAATCAAATATGTGGTATAGTTGTGCCGCAAGGGATTGTGGGAAACGGCATATGCACTCGAGGCAAAGTTTACGAGGAGCACCTGAAGGCAGCAAAATGGAAAAGAGATTACAAAAGGTTTTTTTTTTAATTTGTGAGAATTACATAGATAGGTTTAATCATGTCAATACTATTGTGAATTTTATCTTTAACAATAAAATAATTAGACTCTTCGTTGGCTCAGACCAGCCTTGTAGTTTATTCACAAACGCGAGTGTTCACTGCCCCCTAGTGGTCAAAGGGAGGAACTGCAACACTACGTTAAATGTGTAACACATGATTACCATCAGTATAACTATTATAAATATCAATATGTACACCTCATTATGAGTTCATAGCAGCAGTACTGACAACAACTAAATTAATAAAGCTTTTTTTTAACTATCAGTTTTGTCTTATGGAGACCACTCTTCATGTTAGACCTGATTTAGCATCATGAGTGTTCACTGTCCTCCAGTGGTCACAACTGAGGAGCTGCAATGTCCATTTAAATTCAGTAATTATTGATCAATACTGTACGCACAACTTTTTATTATCATAAGTGTTGAGGAGATGAGACCTACATTTAATTAATCTAGGAGTTTCACTACTTTTTGCAGCAGCTTGCTGGTAGTTCAGCTACATTCCTTTTTGCATAGTGATTCAAGTAGTTTACCATTTTGTGTAGTTAAAGACTGAAACTACAAACAGTTTTGGGCAGCATGGAAAGAGAGAATTATTTATTTTTATTTTACCATTGCTTCTCTACTGTAATTCAACCCCCTTTGACCCTTTGATGAGCCCCACACCCCTTGTCTTTCATCCTGATTTCTGTGAAGGCATGCAGGCAATGTTTAGTTTTTATAACTAAAGTTAAATGTATTAGTCAGAAGAAGGCCAGCCATTAGGAAATATGGGCAGGGGGACAATAGTTTTCAATTTATGTAATTACAACAATATTAAGGAACCTCAGTATGCAGACATAATTTTGAAAAATGGCAATGTTCCCTTTTCCCTCGTCAACATTTAGCCTATCTTTGGACACAAAACTAAAGTTAGCATAACTTTCCCATGACAGGTGGAGTTATTTTACTTTTTTATTTTATTTCATTTCATTTTATTTTACGTTATTTGGTTTATGTATGACCTGTGAACAACTGTGCACTTTTTTGCAATAAACTCAAATGGCATCAAGTGGCTTTTTTTTTTTGCTGGCATGTGACCTTTTCTGTATCATATTTTACTATAATTTTGTATGACATGTACATTGTGAATTTGAACACTTTTTAGTAGTTGTGGTAGTTTGAACTACTTTTTTCTGAGTAGCTTTAGTAAACCAAACTAGATTTCTCCCTTGGGCAGCTTTGCTGTCGTTCAGCTTCTTCCAGTGTGAAGTAATTGGTAGCTTTCTCTCAAAGCAGCTTCCCTAACACTGATTATCATCATGATTATTATTAGCATTATTACAGAGACCAGTCTAACCTTCTAGTGCTGTTTACACAAGTGGGGATGCAGATAAGATGGAATACTAGGACATGTGATGAATATAAAAAAGATTTAAAGTAGTCATCAACCGTATCAGGTCCCAACAACATGGTCTCAGTAATCGGAGGTGTCTGAGGCCAAACCATTTTATTTTGGCAGGTCACAAGTTTCAAGTGATGTGCCTGTAACCCAAGATCCAAGTCAAGTAAGGCCAGGCTACAGACACACCCAAGTTCTACGTATTGATTCAAAGCTTTGCGACATCTACTTTACAAAATATGTTTGGCTGGGATTTCCTGATGTTCGCAGAAACATAAATATGGTACATTTCTGTGCTCCAAGTGAGGATTCAGCCTCTGTTGACTCCTAGGCAGCTTCATTGTGGTGGCATTTTTGGTATTGTGGTTACTGATTCTCCACTTGTTTTCAAGCCTCTACATTACTGCAATTTGAGCTGCTTTTTTTAGTAATGATGGCTATCAGTAAAACAAGAGCTATTTATTAACTGGATCAGTCATCAAAGTCAGTTCACATGAAGTGTTGTGCCTCATAATGTAACCTATGTGTGTAGTGAGGTGTAAAGCAGGCAATACACACTGGCATCTGGAGCAAAGATAAGTTTATTATGCACAAAATATTTCAAACAGCAGTAGGTTACATTTGACTGGCTGTTTTAGGTGGTTCCATTTATGAACGTCCCACTAAATGTCGGCACACTGGATTCACTCCCGTACATGTTCAGACTGGGGTCTAGATGTACTGCCAGGTGTTTCTTCAGATTACAGTTCTTTGTAAAGCCCTTGCCACATTTGATACAAACAAAAGGTTTTTCTCCGGTGTGTGTACGCTGATGCATATCAAGAGTACATTTCTGAATGAAGCCCTTTCCACAAATAGGGCAGCGGTAGGGCTTCTCCCCAGTGTGTGTGCGCTGGTGTGTGTATAGATGCCCTTTTTGTGCGTATCTCTTTCCGCACAGCGTGCACCTGAACGGTTTCTCTCCCGTGTGACTCCTCTGGTGTATTTCGAGCTGGCTGAAGCATCTGAAGCTCTTGCCGCACTGCAAGCAGCCGAACCTCTTGGCACCTGAGTTCCTCAAGTTGTGAAGCTTCATGTTCCTGAGCACGCTTAAGCTTTGGGAGGCGACGTTCTGAGCCAAGCTTTTCCCAGCCACTAGTGTTGTGTGTGCAGGAGTGAGCTGAGGATTCCACTGTGTTTCCCTCCTGCCCGGTCCAGCAAGAGACGGCTGGGCACTCATGGTCACAAAGCGGTCAGTAAACAGAGGCTGCTGACGTTCTGCGATGGATTTGGGACACTGCATCACTTCTGGACTCTGCCGTGTGTCTGGGAAAGATTCCCTTCCTGTTGACAGCACATGAACATGTTAGAATTTGAACATTATCCCAGTAACTCTAATGATGGCTACAAGCTGAATGCACTGATCACACAATAAAGCTGATATTTTTGAGCAAATACCTCAATACGACTACTGGGATGATATTGTTTGATGTTTCTTTGATGCAGATGATTCCACCCTTTATTTCATCCCTTTTAACTCTGACTTCACATAATCTTACTAGAAAGAATGTCATTCTTTTACGGCGCTCCTCATACTGGGAATAATCTCCAAAAGATCTTAAACTTTGACACTGCCACCCTCATGGCCGTTAAATTGCCTTATTTCTGATCTTGTTTTAATGGAGTGTAAATGCTTTTAACTATACATCTACAGCTTAGCATGTTTATCGTCTTGTGTTTCTACTTTTAGTGATTATATTTATTGCTGTTGTTGTTTGTATGATTTCATTTCTGTTTTAATTGATGTGCATGATGGTTCTTTGTTTGCTTATGGATTGTTTTTAATGTCTTTGTACATGCTCAACATCACTGAAAATGAGGGTCTTCCTCAATTGATTTCCCGAGGTCTTAAATAAAGGTTTGAATGAATTATTATTATTATCATTATTATTATTATTATTATTATTACAGGGCTCCTACAGCTTAAGTTCAGTCATACTTAAAACAATTCAGTGCCACTTGAAATGACATTAAAGACCAGGTTTACACAAATCAAAACTGACCTGACATCTATTACTTAGGATAAGGGATATTTTTGCCCAAATGTTTTTTGTAACATAAAACATGACCTTTTTTTTGTCTCATGGCGGAGATGAGGGTAGAATGGAACTGGCGTTGGCGTGTTTTCTTGGCAATTTTGCGTTTCTCACTCTGCATGTGGGATTCCACTGCCTCCATTCTCATCATGCCGAGCTCGAAAAACTTTTGGCATTAAATACAGAGCCTCTTCTGCATTGACTGGTATTGGTTTCAGCTATGCTGCAAACTCTTGGTAAAATCATGAATTTTCATCAAATTTGCACTTCCCCACATTGCCCAGGGTACTGTGACAGCTAGCAAGCAGACAGTAGATCCTCTGCTCTGAGCATCCCAACTGGAAGCAAAATATGGGTGTTGTTGGTTTTGCTATGCTGATCTGTTAGACATTATTGCAAGAGACATTTAGAAGAAGAGGATCTGCTTTATTAATCCCTGAGGGGAAATTCAGTTTTTTCACTCTGCTGTCATTTACACACAGGTCTGAAACACACAAGCACACACAGGGCCTGCACATGCATTGAATGGAGAGATGTCAGAGCAAGGGGGCTGCCTCGGGCAGGCCTTATTTTAAGATAATAGGCCTTATTTTAAGATAATAAATGCTTTTTAAGACTTTTTTTAATGGAAATACGAGTAAAAAAAGTTTCACAGTTTACGGTTTCATGGTATACCATGAACCTAGGTCAACCTAGTCTCATATCCTGATATTGATATAATACTGATATACAGCTCAGCCCTATTGAATACTCACTGTTTTCATTTGTCCTCTCTTGGTCACAGTCTCTGGTGTCCACCTCTGAAGGCTCTTCCTTTACCACAATCAGTTCAGGTTGATCTTTCACTGGGTTCGGCATCTAGTGAGAGAGCAGTATGTGAATGCAAATTAAAGGGGAATTACAGCCATTTTCAAAACTCACATGTTATTCCTACGGCCTAAGATAGCCTGAAAATATGAGTAGATATGAACACCTTTCTGTCAAACCCAAAAACTAGAGTGCTAAAAATCAAATCTGCTTCCACTGATTGTCTATGAAGCAGCTCCAGACTTTATACCCAATGACATCACAGGTTTGAGACTTCTCTGGTTTCTGGCACCAACTGAGGTGGTGTTCCCCTTCAAAGACAGTGCTCATAATACAGTGACTTGATATGATAAGCACAGGACTTACCTCAGCTATGACATGCTCTTCACCTTGAGGATGATGCCACTTGATCTTCTCAGTGGAGGAACTTATGCTCTCCCATGGACTTTCACTAGGATGCAATACACTTGGATTAACCACACCATGCAGGGTGTTGCTGACCATGACAGAGATGTATTTATGATGTCAGAACAACGCAAACACACTACCTACCTAAAGGCAACACACAGGAATCAACAAGCCTACCTCTTTATGGCAGGTCTTGCCCTGTCAGGCTCCAGTATCCCGTCCTCTGACCCATCCCTCACCGCTGAGCTTGCTG